GTCTATCAGGCACAACCTGCGAGTCAGTTCTTTTCTAATATACAGTACTGGTATCTTATGTAGATATATTGGTCACTCAGGACCTGAACTTACATTTCCCATACTGCTGACTCAGGGTGGACACACTACTAACTTACCAAAGTGTGTCCCCAATATAGACAATCACCCAATTGATGGAGAATCATTGTTTGCAATAAAGACATGGACACTACAAATGTGCTTTAACAAGATTCTCAGTGAGTATATTTTCAGGACTAGCATATAAAGCAAAAAGAGTTTAACTATTTCATATCCTTACAGTCAGCACTAATGATTATAAACCTTATTTAAGCATAAAATACATATGAACAAGAAAAGTTAACTACTTCATATTCTTACATGGTAATTTCCCATTCCTAGGACAAATCTTTCAAACACTTATTCACACTCACAACCAGACTTAACTAATGACAATTAGAGGGTGGACAAGGTAAACCTGAAACTCTGTGCACACTATCGTAGTATATTCACTTATATACTAAATTCTCTGTCTATATCACTTTATAGACTTCCTTTTATCTGTCTAATTCTCTTATTAGACCTTCTCTAGTTCACTTACTAGAAATACATATATCTCTCTGTCTAGTTCCCTTACTAGACTAATGTAACGGGACCTTATGTAAAACTGAGTAACAGAAAACACATATACTAAATAACCTTTCCTAAAATGATGTAGACTTACAAAACCATGGGGATCATAGATTCAGGGCGTCAAGATAGACACAAGGAATTACTACTCACCCAAAATGGTTTTGGCTACAATCCCACTTTCTGACACCAAGCTGAAAGGTAAATCTGCTAATCTGGTGACTCGGTCCCTCTGGTCACTATTCTCCAACCCTCGATTGTCAGCTGAATATTCAGGGAAGATTTTTATGGAAGCGTATTAACCAGACACACACTCTTTGCTTTCCATAATCTTCTGACAATGTATTCAAAATGCTCTGTATTTATACAATATTTGTCACGAATATTGGTTACAAAAGGTTACAAAAAGGTTACAAAAAGGTTACAAAAAGGTTACACAAGATACATAAAAGAGGAAGCAGTTTCTGCTGTTACATTCAATAATCTAATCTTACAAAATATTACATATACATTGTGGTTAGGCATTTCCTGATACATAGAAACTGTCATAGCTTGTGACTTCCTTTCAGTTATGTTTTGCAAGCAGTTCTGAAATACTGACAGATTAATTGTTTAACCCCTAAGGACCAAATTTCTGGAATAAAAGGGAATCATGACATGTCATGTGTCCTTAAGGGGTCAATATTCCTTCAATGTCTATAAGGAGATGCTGATTGGCAAGAGCTGTGTTTCGCTTGTGCTGGCTCTGCCCATGATCTGCCTCTTTGATGGTCTCAGCCAATCCAATGCTTTCCCATGGCTCAGATCAATATTTCTGATTATGTCAGACAGAGGTGTAACTAGAAACCACGGGCCCTGGTGCAAAAACTGCCTTGGGGCCCCCCATATGACAACCCCCTACAACACCCCCATACGTCTACCCTTTTCCTCCCATATGTTGCCCCCCACACATGCAGACAGATACACATACATAAACATGGACACACACATACAGGCACACATACGTACAGACACACACACACACACACACACACATACAAACAAACAAACACACACATACATACAGACACACACACACATACATACAAACACATACATACAAACATACAGACACATACATACAAACACACACACACACACACACACAGACAGACAGACATACACACATACATACAGACACACACACAGACATACACACTCACAGACATGCAGACTCATACATACACACACACACACACACACAGACATACAGGCACATATACATACAAACACACATACATACACACATACACAAACACACACACATACAAACACACACACACATATACATACAAACAAACACACACACATACAAAAAAAAACACACGTATACAAAATGTTTAAGTTACCTTCCTGTTTCCTACCTTTTAGGTGCAGGAGGGTGACTTTCCTGGGTTCCAGTGGCTCAGCCTCATGGGAATCTCTGACTCCCTCCTCTCTTTCCTCTCGCACTCCGCTGTGTGTAAGTTGGGAGGAGTGACCGGGGCAATCACTTCCTCCCAGTTGTGATGTCATGTGCTGTTAAAGAGCCACAGCTCTCCCCGGGCCCCCTGGAAATTAATATCCATCAGGTGGCCCTCAGAGCATGTGCCATTCAATGGACCCCTCAATGTGCGGCCCCGGCGGTAATACCACATGGGCTGGGGCCGCAACACATGGTGGCTGGCACCGCAGTCGCAGGGGTCCGCAGGGAGGCCGGGCCCCCTGGATTGGAGGGCCCTGTGACCGCTGTAGTTCCGCCACTGATGTCAGACAAGCAGACAGATCAGCAGACTGGAATAAAGACAAGATTTTACTATATTTAAGGGGGGTGGGCAGAGAGGCTAGATGGTGATTTTAACACTGTAGGTTCAGGAATACATGTTTGTATTGCTGACCCTATAGTACTCCTTTAAGCTTGGTCTTGCTAATTAACACAAACCCCAAATCCTGCAGACGAATAACCTTTGCTTTAGCAGCGGTAGTAAAGAAGCTTCTTCTTCTTTGATATCTTAACAAAACACAGTTTGCTAAAGTGGTAATGTCTAATTTACAATAAAAATGTCCACCCTATGAAATTTAGTCTTACTACTATTTGGAGAATAAATCATCTATAACACTGTGCATTTTGTTTATTTAATTGCCGAAAACCTTTTCCTACCTAGACTCTTGTATACATAGATAAGTCAAACTCAAGATGAGAGCGTAGCCATGTCAATGCTATATTTTCAGCACTAAAATGTTAATATCTTAACCTTAAAGAGACAATATAGTCACCAAAACAATTTTAGCTTAATGAAGCAGTTTTAGTATACAGAGCATAAGATAAGAAATTATATATTAAACATAATTTTGAATAAAGGATTTGGGATAGTGGCAGGGCCAGATTAAGAGCCCAGTGGACCTGGTGCTGACAATTATGACGGGCCTAATTACAGAATCATATCGACCAAAAACAGTAAAACACTCCCAAGCGTCATGTATCTGATGGAGATGGTGATGGAGGGAAAGGAAACAGCAGATATAAGAAAACACATACCCTAGGCTAATCTCTCACTAATTTATGTTTTCATCTTTCAAGTAAATCCATAACCCCTAACAGCAGTGTCCAGTCAAGCAGGAAGTCAATGGGCATGGTAAAAGGGTGTGCCACTGACACAAATCAAATAACCTGCCAAAAGGGGCGAACATGCCCAAAAAGAGGATATGTCTGCCCAAAGAATTAGAAGGCCAGCCTGGCATGAATGTACGCTGTGGCCGCTCACCAATCCATGCAGCCACAACTAAGGGCATACTCATGCAAGACAGCAACCTTGAGTTTGCATAAATGGCCCACGATGTGCTCGCCTCAACGCCAAGGACTGCCCCCTAGCACCTCACAGCTGGGTCCACTTTGTCCCCTACCCTCTACTAGCAGGCAGAAGCTCCTGGTATATAGTCTGGGACAGAGAAAAAGCTGCATGTAGTGAGTGTAGAAGAAAGGAACATGCCACACAGCTAATCTAGACCAAAAGTCAGTATTGGTTTGGAAGGATCACTATAGGGTCAGGAACACAAACATGAATTCATGACCCTATAGTGTTAACACCACCATCTAGTCCCCCTGGGCCCCTCATGCCTCCATAAATATAGCAAAATCTTACTGTATTCAAGCCTGAAGCTGTAACTCTGCATGCTGTTAGACTCAAACAGTCCGCTGACATCATTAGAAGTGGTGGCCTAATCCAGTGCTTACCCGTAGGATTGGCTGAGACTGACAAAGAGGCAGATCAGGGGCAGAGCCAGCATGATTCAAACACAGCCCTGGCCAATCAGCATCTCCTCATAGAGATGAATTGAATCAATGAATCTCTATGAGGAAAGTTCAATGTATGCATGCAGAGGGAGGAGACGCTGAATGTTTGGATGCATTTTAGGCAGCCATGACCCAGGAAGGATCTCTAACAGCCATCTAAGGAGTGGCCAGTGAAGTTATCACTAGGCTGTAATGTAAAGACTGCATTTTCTCTGAAAAGACAGTGTTTACAGCAAAAAGCCTGACGGTAATGATTCTACTCACCAGAACATATTCAATAAGCTGGTGACTCTAGTGTCCCTTTAACTATATTTATCGTCAGCCAGTCCACACAAGTTTTGTTCCCATAGATCCCTCTTAAGTTTCCATACTTAAGTAATGGTATATGAAAAGTAGTTAGGGTTGCCACCTTTCTTGGAAAAACATACCGGACTTGCGAATTTGCATAATTAAATATGTATGGGTGACATCACATGATGTAAATCACAAGGAGTGACATTAGAGAAAATGCTGTAAAATCACAAAAACTACTTAGTTTGATTCTGCTGTATAGATGGATTCCTCCCAGTGGCCCCATGTCTCCCAGTGCCCCCATGTGTCGATTACTCCAGGTCTCAGTGTTCCTATGTATCAGTGTCTCAGTACTGATGTCTCCCAGTGTCCCCTATTGTCCCCTAGTGTCGTGTCCCCAGGTCTCCCAGTGATCCTATGTATCACAGTGTCTCAATGCCCCATGTCTCCCTGTGTCCCCATGTATCCCAGGGTCCCCATGTCACTAGGAAGACGGGAAGACCTGGGGACACGGGGAGACCTAGGGACATGGAGACACCAGTGACACTGGGAGACTAGGGGACGCAGGGGGACACTGGGAAAATAGGGGACACTTGAAGACATGGGGACACAGACACCAGGGACACAGACACTAGAGACACTGGCTGGGGGACATGGGGACATTGAGACATGGGGGCACTGGGAGACATGGGGACAAGGAGACACCAAGGCCACAGACACTAGGGACACTAGCTTGGAGACATGGGGACATTGAGACACTTGAGGCACTGGGAGACATGGAGGCACTAGGAGACATGGGGACAGTGAGACACTGGCAGACTGCAGGGGCACTGGGAGACTAGGGGGCACTGAGACACCAGGGACACTGGCTGGGAGACATGGGGACACTGGGAGACATGGGGACACTGTGTCCCCATGTGTCTGTGTCATAATGTCTCCCAATGTCCCTTAGTGTCTCAGTGTCCCCATGTCTCCTTGCAGCCTTTCCCCCCATCCCTTACTTCCCTGAGCTGTAGGCTGTCTCTGCAGGGTGGGAGTTGCTGTCTGGACTCTCTGTAGCTGCACCCCTGCAGATCAGTGAGTATAGATAGGCAGGGAGGGATATGCTGGAACGTCCTATCCCTGCCTGTCTCCACACACAGTGACCCCTACTGGCCAGTGCTGGTATTGCATAGTAATCTCTTGTTTATACTGAGAAAAATACCAGCATTTGTATTTCCAGTATCACTGTAATATTGGCACCAGCCAGGCAGCCTCAAATACTGGCTGTGCCAATAAAATAAAAGCCAGGTGGAATCCCTAAGAGTAGTGTGTGAAAATAAAAATGTATAAATCAATGGGCCTATTCCATGCTGCAGCTCCATCAGCCCCTATGTTAATCCGGGCCTGGATAGTGGGCAGATAACACTTTATTTTTTGTTTTGTGTTAAGTATTTGGTTTTGTGAGTACAATAAACATTACAGCGTGTGTGTTTTTATTTGTTTCTGAATTATAGAGCTATAACAGTTACAGTATGTCCGCCCACCCAATATGTTCCCTAATATGGATTAATAAGTGTGTGGAGGTTCATAAGAATACCCCTTTTTGTCTCATTGGAGATTTTGCCTTTTAACTGAAAGTAGTGAGGTAAATTGTTTGTGTAAGACTCATCAAAGAGGTGTACCTTGACATGCCAGGCGAGCTTACACTTTAATGGACTTCGGAGTGCCATTAAAAACCTCCTTTTGTTTAAATGGGAATAGGGATTTGGGATAGTGCGCAGGTAACACTTGTTTTGTTTTTGTTTTTTGTATAGTGTATTTGGGCAGAGGAAAAATATAGCCCTTTCTGCCACCTGAGAGTAGTTGGAGTTTGAGTGATCCAAGGAGAGGTCTGACTGCCATTCTGGGGTTAAGAAGGAATTTTTTTCAAAGTTGCTGCAAAATTGGAAAGTGCTTCAAACTTAATTTTTATATTTTTTTGACAATCAATATTTATAAGTTTTTTAAACATTGGTGTGATATTAATAA